GAAAGAAAAAAACGTGTGATAAATGCGATCATAGCTTATTGCATGAACAAGTTACAGGGCGTGGACATTTTGAATTGGGATGACATGTTTTCAGAACACACGGCAGACTTTTGGGTATTTGCAGAGGAGGTTCTGTATGTAATCCAAGCACAACGTCTAATTGATTTGATTCGACTTCGGGAAACAAATGTGCATGGTGATTCACTTCCTGCGTACGAACAAGAGTTGAGGCAAAGAATATTTGCCTTTTGGAAAGAGAGAGAAAATATGACTAAGGCGATGTTTGACAACATTATTTCGTATACTGATGAAAAGGATGAGACGGTCATTACACCTTTATGGGAATCTTACCAAGAATTTTTGAACAAAAACTGATTGCAGCTTTCCTTGTTCTGGACGACCGCGACACGAATTTTAATGTGTTAAATTTCTAGGTTAAGTAAAGAAATTAAGGCTGATGGATCAAGTTTGGATTTCAATAATTCACATGGTGGACCTTTTCAACTTCTCATTAAAAATTCTCCTTCAAACTTGCCAAATCTTTCTTCGTGTGCTGACACTTTATGTTGTTAAGAATTGATTGCTGTCGATAGATAAATGATCCGCGATACTTGGAATCATGTGTGCAGATTAGATAGCTAGGCCGTTCCACTGATGCGACGTAAAAGATGCATCACACGTAGATTTCAAAGCACCAGCAAACACTTGTACAATGCATTTTTGCTAAATGTTTGATCTGTGCAGATTTGTCGAACAAATTTCACTTGGTATCATGATGCTGTCGTGATAAGACTCCTAATCAGGTTAATCTCGCCCATTTTGCTAGTCGTTTAATGAGATAACTTTTAAGCTTCATTCGCCACCTGTTCCTTAAACTGCCTATCCGCGAGAGTCCTTTATTTTTACCACTGAGAGATTGCGTCTCAGGAGCTGCTTCTAGCGCAGCGACGATCGAGTCGGAAAAGGACTGTGTTCCGTTTTAACTGGTTTGAAGCATATTGTATCATTTTTGGAATCTACTGGAACTTAAGCGATGACTGCTTCTTCACCGTCTCGTCGAGCACCGCATTAGAGTTATGAAACTGCGTGTAGTTGAGCTCAAAACGAATAACTCATTGTATCGTATGTAATACGATAATTGATTCAAACTCATTATTTATAGATTACGTTGTCTGCTTGACTTGTACAAACAACAAAAACGCTTTTCAGTAATGATAGTCGCTGCAATTGTTTCGAAGCAGGACAATAGATCGGCAGCTGCACGAGTTTGCCCAATCTTTTCTTTTCCTTTGCTACTCGTGTGCACTGTTCTAGTCATTATATCCCAAATTTCAAGGTGGCCAAATGTATTTTATAATCAACGATGATTAACGAAATTGTCATCTACCTTTGCTACTGTCAGTCGTACAGGCAGAGTGAGACTTCCTATAAGAAAATTCTTTCGGGTGATGTTGATTACCTTTCATCTTGAAAAGCGAGTTAGGATGACCAAGTTGGTCTAGTGAAAGATAGACTCAAACACTTTAATGTATAGCACTTAAAAGTAAATAGACACTTGAAGCCACAAGGACAGAACCCACAAAGTCAGGAAAATCATAAGACGAAGCAGACGACGGAGAAACTCCATGGCACTCAATTTTGTCAATTTGATGAGTTGTCCACTCGGTTCTTTCTATACGACACTTAAGCTGGTGTGTTTGTTACGAGCTGGTAGAGTCATAAGTGTGCGCAGAGCGAAGACGTCGAGCAGATCAACTCGATAAATGATGAAAAAATTGTTGAAACATGTTTACTCACTAGTCACATTATTAATCTTAGAGACAAGAAACACATATATATTGAGATATGCTCAGAATCTCTTTCATTTATATCGGCTATATATTTAAATATTAAATGCCTTGTATAATAAAAAATAGAACTATCACCTATCAATATTGAAACATGTTGACTAAATTTTCATTTCTGCTTTCATCGATCTTAATACTCAAGTCACAAACAATAAATACATTTAAAGCTACATCGAGTTCCTGAAAATTCATGTTGGCTGTAGTGCTGACTGAAAGCTTTTAATTAAATTTCGTGGAAAAAAAAGAATTTTCACATATGAATAATTGATCAGTTCATGAGAAAAATCGAGAAAAAGTTTTCTTCAATGGCCTTTTTAGTGAATCGAAATACTTGTGGCCATAAACGTTCTCCCTCTCATTACCCATGCGTGTATATAAATATCTAGTGATGGCGGCAACTTTCGACTTGTTTATCGTGAATGTTGTCTCGACTAACTCTTCGGCCCATTTGACTTTGACTCGTCACAATACTTTCGATCGTGATAGCCGAATAAATGGTCACTTTTTGAGAAAAATTGGAAGCTGGAAAAGCAAAGACACAAGAAATTGAAGATAATGAAGAGAGGAATGACTTGTCTCCAAAAGAATTAGCTAAGCTTCTGAATCAGCTTTATGCTTTCGATTGGCTGATTCAGAAAGAGAAGCAACTTGAGTCTCTTTTTTCAATCAGGTCTGTCTTAGAAGGAAAAGAGATCAAGTACGATGCTGAAAACCTTCGTAGCAGTCATGAATCGCTTAAAAGAAAAAAACGTGTGATAAATGCGATCATAGCTTATTGCATGAAAAAGTTACAGGGCGTGGACATTTCGAATTGGGATGACAGGTTTTCGAGACAAAAGAAGCACTTTTGGGCATTTGCAGAGGATGTTCTGTATGTGATCCAAGCACAACGTCTGATTGATGTGATTCGATTTCAGGAAATCGATGCACATAATCCTTCTATTCATGCATACGAAACACAGCTGAAACAAACAATTTTCGACTTTTGGCGAAAGAGAAAAGTTATGACCAAGGCAAAGTTTGCTGACGTTATTTCGTACACCGATGAAAAGAATAGAAGGATCATTGCACTTTTGTGGAAATCTTTCCAAGAGTATCTAAACAAAAATTGATTGCAGCTTTTCTGGTTCCGAACGAGTGCGACACGAACTTCAATTGTGTTTAATCTCAAGGTAATTAAAGGAAACAAGACTGAGTGATCAAGTCATTAATTGAATAAAACAACAAGGTACAGCTTTCCAACTTCTTAATTAAACTTGACGAGCATGTTCTTCATTTATACATATCAATTTTCCGTGATACTTGGAGGCATGTGTGCAGATAACGTGTAACACGATTGATTATTTATAGTTAACCTTGTCTGCTTGACTTGTAAGAATGACACACACGCTGTTCGGTAGTGATAGTTCGCTGGTATTGTGTTGAAGCAATACAATGGATCCACAGCTGCACAAAATGACACATTTTCTCTTTACCTTTGCTACTTGAGTTCACTGTTCTAGTCGTAATATTCCGCTTTTCAAGGTGGTCAAGACCAAACAAACATCAACGCAATCGATTTGTCATCTACCTCTCTTAGGTAACACAAGTGAGACAATGTATAGATTACCTGTCATCTCTAAAAACGAGTTATGATGACCAATTTTGTCAAGAGAACAAGGAACAAAGTAGTTGGCATCGAGATAAAGCTCAACCACTTCGATGTGTATGTATAGCACTAAAAAGTCAATGGCATTAGTCAAGATTCATTCTAATCACACAATTGTTTATTTACTGAAGGACAGAAAACATCAAATTCTTCTATCAAGCCATATTTTCAATGAAAAAATCAAGTGATTCGCTTAATGTCGGCAGTTCTTCTTCATCCAAGTGTCTATACTCCAGAAAGTCAGGAAAATCAAAAGACGAAGTAGACGACGGAGAAACTCCATGGCACTCAATTTTGTCAATTTGATGAATTTGTCTACACGATTCTTCCCTTACAACACTTAAGCTGGTGGTGTGTTTGTTACGAGCTGGTAACGTAATGAGGGTACGCAGAGCCAAGACGTCATGATCAATTCGATGTTCACGACGAAGTCGAATGGCTTTACCCATTTGAAGTCCCTGAAGTCGACGAGAGACCTTTTCTTGGTATTTTTGAGCATGAGTTTGCACTTGACGAACGGATCGTGTTCCAATATATTCCGTAATAATTTTCCATGGACCTTGTGGAAATAATTTCAAAGCATCAAGAAATCGATCATGTTCTTCAGTAGACCAGATGCCAATTGTTCGGTTGGTATTTGTAGTGGACGTGTCTGAAGATGAGAGCATTTTCAACTTTTCTGGATGTTATACAGAGTGAAAATTCAAGACTGCTGCAATTGTTAAAGCAAGAAGATTAAGATAAAGGTATGAAGACAGTAGTAGCACTAATGTCTTGACTCTGAGCCACATAGATCAAGATCGGATCTTCTGTCCAAGAGATTTTGCCTCTTTTTAAAATCTCAGATGAGCCGAAAGAAAGAAGTTTGAAAATTCTAGATTTTATAATGGTTGTTGTCCGGATATTTGTCTGAGTGAGTACAGATTGCTGAACACATGGGACTCATTTATCAGGACTGAAGCCAGTACAACCCAGAAACTCGAGAATGAAAATAGACACAAAGCAAAGAAAAAAAAGTCAATTTGTTCTTTTTACATACATTCTGTCTTCCCCATTTTCCTCATTTCTACTTACTACGATGAAAGAATGAGTTACGAGGGTTATGATCATTTGCGCCACGACCAGATCGAAAAATACTTGAACGATAACTACCTGGACTTCCCGATGCAACTGTTGAATTCGATTCGACAGGTAATAAATTCAAAGGTGTTGTCAAAATTTGACTACTCGTACGATTTGAATTCGCAAGGATTGAAATCCGTTGAAAATCTTCGACTTCAAGTGGTGGTGAGCGTTCAAGACGTAAATGTGACGTTGATGTACGTACAGGATTTAATTGTTCAACTTGTGATAATGTAATTCGCATACTTGTTCCAATAAATTCTTTTGTATGAACATGAACTTGAATATCTGGACGTTCTGCTAATTTAGGAATCACAAGTTGCATAAACCCATCTAACATCATTGGCGTCACATATTTAAGTTCCACTCCCATTGGAAACGTTTCCGAGACAATTGGACCACCATCTAGTACATTCTTAAGCCATCGTGACATATAATCAAGTTTCTTTGGATTTCCTTGAGCCCAATCTGTTAATAAACGTTTCCAAGGAACTGAACCTAAGGAATAATGCATAGCAGGTGGAAAATTTCGAATTTCTTCCCAATGATCTTTCACACGACGTGCATTTCCTTTACTTGATACTTTACTCTTAGCATGAGCAATACGTGCAGCACTTTTAAGAATTAAATGATGAGCTTCAGCAGATTTTGGATCAATAATTCCATTAGCTGCAGCTGTAGCCATCACTGATTTATCCGATAAAACTGAAGTAAGAGATCCACGATTTGTTGAATTTGATGGTGGTGATGTTGCTTGGATGATACTCCCACTATCAGAAGGTAAATCACGCGATTCACAAATATATGCACGTAATTTTTCATATTCCGTTTCAAGTGCTGCTAAATATGTCAAATCTTTACTTTCTTGATCACGATATGCTAATTTCTGAACTTGTTCACCCACTTCTTTTGATTGTTGCCAATTTTTCAATGTTCGATTCTCGGTCTTTAATCGTTGAATTTCCACCTCTCGTTTTTCTAATTGTTGTCGAAGTTTTTCATTTTCTTGATGAAGTGCTGTAATGACTTCATGACTTTCATCAAGAATTCCACTTGTACCACTTGATCGACCTGATAACATTGATCCACGTGTTGAATTGCCATTTGAAGTTGTACTACTAATTGAAGTTTGAGGAGTTTCGGGACTAGATGATCGACTTTTACCTGATGGTGACATTTTCACTCCTGTATGCATTTGTTTTCGATCAAGTTTCATTTGTAATTGAGCGACTTTCGAACCCAATTCTTTATATGCTTTTTCATTTTCCATCTTTCTTAAAAATACAAGACGTAATAACGAAAAACGAAAGAATCCTTGTAATCGTCGAACAGCAACAAGTGTCATCAAATAACGATGTCGTTCTGTATGCATACGACAATATGCTTGAAATCGTACAATACAATAATCAAATTTTAACACACGATACATTTTACGAGCAAATGCTCCACGTGTATGTGCTTGAAGTAATACAATTCCATGTCGTAATGTCAAATATTTGTGTTGAATAACATATCGACGCCAATACTTTTGAATGACAATCATCATCAGTTTTTGTCGTAGAAACCAACGCTTTAATAGCCAAGATCGTACATGTTTTTGCAATACAATTGCATATTTACGTAAGGATCCACCTCGTTTGGTCTCAAGTGCTTCTAAAACACCTTCTCGAAAGTATACACGACTTAAACCCACTTGATAATCCTGAATATTACGTCCAGGTAACAAATGTTCCATTAATTCTTCACATTGACTTTTCAAATGCTCCGTTTCGACATCCATTGTAAGTTTTGTCGTATTTATTGGCACTCCACCCGTAAGTAAGACACGAAATTTTTTAAAACATTCTCCATGTAGCATACGACTTGGATAAGCACTTCGAGAGACACGAATAGCTTCAATTACACCTGCACAACGTAATTGATTGACAATATCACTATGCGAGAAGCAATGCGCACTTTTTAATGGATTTGGTTTCAAACATCGAACATAATGTACTTCGGTACGTCCAATTTTTTCCATCAATTGTGATAAACTTTCTTTAAATTGTGTTCCAACTGTTGTACGACGAGGTTGAGCTTGACCACTTCTTCTAAAACTACTTCGACTTGTATTTGATCCACGTAATGTTACTTGACTTCCATTGACATCATCTGTAAACATTTTCGATAAAATTTCTAATGTCGAATGACTCATACATTGTTTAATATCTGGTAAAATCGCATCACGATGTTTATCAAGAAATCCCGTTGCATCATATGTCACTTTTCCAGCATAATGATAAACTGAAAATGCACATTTGTTTAAACGTGGAGTCTCTAATAATGGATTATTCTCCATCACAGCTCCCAATTTACTCGCAAATGATGCATCTGTTCCTGTAACAAGTAATGATTCTTCATTTAAGAAACTAATTACACCTAAACGACCTTCAATCAGATTCAAAACATCTTGATTATCAGTAAATGTAATATGAGCCCATGAAATATGTTCTTCTTCATACTCCATTTGAACTGTTTTCAAAACATCTTGTACAAATTTTTGTTGTAGTTTTTCATTCGCATAATTGATACAAAATTGTTCAAATGAATTGATTTCAAAGTGTTCAAATCCAAAAATATCAAGAATTCCAATAAATGAAGCAACAGTTGTTGTTTGTACACCAATAGTTTGATTAATTTGTTCCACAAGCCATAAAAATAATTTGGAATATAAACTTTTAGCTAATGCATCACGACAATCACTTGCTTGATCATGAGTCATAGGTTTTAAAATCACTTCACGACCTACAAAAACATTGCGATTACACACAGCACGTTCTAATGCTTCAACTTGTACACCAAGTAAACGACAAGCTTTTGTAAAATGATCTCGATCAACTAATTGTGAAGCATCAATATCTCCATTTCGTATCGTAAATTTTGTTTCACCTAAATGTAAAATTCCACCTAAAATTTGTAAAATTTCATGTTGTAAATTTTGTGAAATTCCCACAAGTTCTAAAGCTTCTTGTGTTTGATTTAAATTTCCTTCATCTTGATTTTCACGAGCAGTGACAAATTCCGTAACATAATGAAAAGATTCACAAGTTAATTCCAAATCGGGAAATTGATGTCGTTGAGCCAATAATTGATAAAAAATATGAAAATTACGCTCTCCATGTGCTTGTGTCGTCACACGACTTTTTTCAAGTAAATACGTACGTGATCGTGCACCAAGAAGTTGTCCTTCATTCGTAAATTGTAATTCGGTAAATTTCCCAAAACGACTTGAATTGTCATTTCGTACAGTTTTGGCATTTCCAAATGACTCAAGTAGTGGATTTGCTTGAATAATCTGTTGAATGACTTTGGAATTCGTATTTGTTGCAAGTGCAGCTAAATGACTCATGACAATTTTTGTTGTTTCAGTTTTACCAGCTCCAGATTCCCCCGAAACAAGAATACTTTGATTTTCATGTTTTTGTCGCATATTTAGAAATGCTTCCATTGAAATTGCATAAACATGAGGTGGTTTCTTTTCACGTTTGCCATCACTAAATTTTGCCATCACTTCTTTCGAGTATAAATCAAGCCATGTATAAGGATTTACAGCAATACAAATGCGTCCTGTATACGTATCTAATTACAGATATAATCATTAGTTTAAGTAAAATATTACATATTACATACACAACGTCTTAACGTACATGGTAATTGACGAAAAAAACGTTGACGAAGATTATAAAGAATTGATGCTTCATGTAATTGATCAATAAGAATCATATCTTCAAATCCTGTGCCACTTTTACTCATATTTTGCAAAGGTAAAGATGCCACAGTGTTGCTAGTTGTACTCTTAGCATTTAGTGCCTCAAGCACCGACGCATCAGAGAGATCCACAGTACGCTGAGATCCAGCAAAAGCATGAATATCACGCTCAGATGAGATTCGATCTCGTATAGTCGCATCTTTTGGTCCAACAACGTCATCTAGTCGTACTGTAACCTTTTTACCATTTGTGCCACAAATAACACCCGGAAGCCACACATGATCGGGATCGGGTGCAAATACCTGCAAATTTACCTTTAGTTGATGATAACAAAATCCGTGCAACTTTTGATACTTCGTACCTTAATCCCCTCCATCGTCGCTGCTGACTTACCAACACTCTACTCTTTGTGCAAATGAACGCTCTTTCGTGCTTGCCCCCCTTATAATCTTGACATAGATTGGGCAAAATTTGTAAAAGCCAATTAGAAAAGAGTATATTGACATAAAAGAAGTGATTGAGAGATTTTAGAAAAGTGCCCAAAAATCGTGCCAAAAATGCTTGGACACTTTGTTGTAAGGTCAAAAACGCTTTCTCGAGTCCAACTCTTCCATACATCACGTATCAGGCGTCAACTTGGATGTTATGAAGCTATCGATACGTCATGGGAGTGGCTTAAAGACCCGAAAAACCCGCGATTACAGCGTTTCCTTAAGGTTTGTCTTTTTCAAGTCTCTAATCTTTGATACATGATTTCAAATTTTTTGTTTGTTGCTAGCTGGAGCGTAATTATCTTGCAAATCAAATATCAAAACCCAAATTTCGTAAAATTGAACGCACATTGAATTTTGAATTTCGCAATCGTCTCTTACGACAAGACGCAAGTATTCCCGAGTGTATTGGCAAGTATGAGTATTTCACACGTCAAGAACGAGGTGAGAACTTTCCAGTATATTATCGTCGACTTCGAAGTGGTGATGCAGATGAAGAAATTGTCTTGAATCAAAATGTTGAAATGTCATTAAATCATGATTTTCACCTTGTTGCTACCATGAAACTTTCCGCTGATGCAACACAAGTGTTGCTTGTTATGGAAAATGAAAGTGAAGAATCTCAAGTTATGTTGAAAAATGTCAAACTGAATACTTTGCAAATTTTGACAAATTTAACAAACGTCAAAAATGTCGAATGGAGTTCTGCTTCACCACCGAATGAATCATTTTATTATACACAAAAAGACACAGACGGACGACCATTTGCAGTGTACCGATACAATCTTGCAACTCATACACAAGAATTGGTACGTTATGATATGAGTGACAAGTTGATATGCTGTTAACAAGTTTTTTTGGCCATTTTAATTTGTTAGATTTATGAAGAACAACATAAAGCATTTTTTGTTGATGTATCTCAAACAAAAGATATGCGTTTTATTCTCATCAATTGTAATTCAAAAAATGCCTCGGAGATTTATGCATTAGAAAGTCACGACTTGAATGCAAAACCTCAAGTATTTCGAAAGCGTGAGTCTGGAACATTATATTTTGTCGATCATGCTGCAGAACAGTTTTTTATTATTACAAATGCAAATGGTGCTCAAAATTATCAAATTGCAACTTGTAAATGGCATGCAACAACAAAGTGGCACGTTATTATCCCTGAGCAAAAAGATGTAAAAATTGAAGATGTTGATGTGTACGACCAGTATCTTGTACTGTACGAACGAGTGAAAAGTATTCCTCAAATTCGTGTGTACAGTTATGAAAATCTTTCATTTCATTATATTCCAATCCCAGAAATATATGAAATTGGTCGTATTTTTCCTGGTATCAATCGAGAATGTCACTCGAATCTTGTAAGATTTCAAGTCACAACACCATTAATTCCCGAGATTGTGTTTGATTATGATATGAAAGATCGTCAATTACATGTACTCAAGGAAAAGAATGTCATCGATTCATCACATGATACAAAATTTGGTTGTTTTCGATACTTTGTACCAAGTAAAAATGTTCAGATTCCACTTACATTAATTCATGATCGAAATTTGACATTAAATGGAAAGAATCCAACATTATTAATTGGTTATGGAGCTTATGGAACGAATCTCGAAGCTGAATTTGAACTGGAATACTTAAGTTTACTTGAACGTGGATGGATTATTGCACTTGCACATGTTCGAGGAGGTGGAGAATGTGGTTTACCATGGTATGATGCTGGAAAAGGATTGTTAAAACGACAATCGTTTGAAGATTATCTCGCTTGTACGCATTATTTATTTGATGCACAGTATACAAATCCAAAGCTATTAGCTGGAAAAGGAGTGAGTGCTGGTGGTTTGATTATGGGAGTTGTAGCGAATGAAGCACCTCAATTGTATCAAGCTTTAATCATGAAAGTACCTTTTGTTGATATTTTTGCTACAATGTTAGATGCTTCATTACCATTAACGATTCATGAATATGATGAATGGGGTGATCCAAATCAGTTAAATGTACGTGAATACATTCGATCATATGCACCATGTGAGAATGTTGTCGAGCATCAAGTGTATCCAGCTATGTTTATTACTGGAAGTTTAAATGATTCACGAGTACAATTTTGGGAACCAGCGAAATGGATGTATATGATGCGAAAAGTTCAATCTTTATTATCAAAAGATCAAAAACGTTTAATGTTATTAAAAATGTCAACTGATCAAGGACATTTTGGTGGTAGTGGACGATTGGAACAATTAGAAGAAAGTGCGATGGAGATCGCATTTTTATATCAAGCAATGGGATTGGAGTTTCCAAAGAAGTAAAGATAGTTTTTAAGTTAGAGAATAGAAATAGATCTTTAAGTAAGATGTTAGCTACGACTAAGAAGTTAGAACAAGATATTAAGCAATTGGAAGATCGTTTGGCTATTGTGAAAGCGACACTTGATCGAGAACGAAGAGCATGGCAACAAAGTTCACAATTAGGACCAAGTGGTACGAAATGGAAGGGAGCAGCACAATTACAAGACAACAAGAACGAAAGAATGTATGGTGTAGGTACAAACGAGTCGAATGTTCATTCTTCTAGCTTTTGTAAGTCATTTAAAACGAGCAACACTTGTGATGTCCATCCGCTTCTTCATTTATCGACAGAATCATCAATCGTACAAAAGCCGAACTTGGCTCGATCAAAATCAATTTCGTTTCAGAATATTGCCACGACACTTTGTTGGAATTGTAAGGTGCGATTCCTTCGCTCACATACTCAACGATCAGCTACTACAGTCGTTTATTCTGAAGATAATTCGTCTTTGTCATCGTCTCTACGAAAGTGTTTCGTGTCTCGAGATTTCTGTTCACAAACTTGTCGAGAACAAGGCAAGTCTTCTGAACTTCATTTGAAAACACCATTTGACGCCTGTGTGAAAAGCAGTAGAACGATAAATCAACATGATAATGAACAGAAAGTTGAGAATTAAACGCTGAAAGTTAGAGAAGTTCAAATGTCGATTACATTTTCAAGAAAACGATTAGAGGTAACACAGTCACGGAAAATGTTGTCGTGAAATTCTTTTCTTTTCTATGAAAGAGCTGGAATTGCATTATCGTTTCAATCCTGAAAACGGACAGAGCGTATCTTTTATAGATCAAAATGGGTTGAGAGTATCCTAAATCAATCTTAAAAACTCACGATGCAATCCAGAATTCTAATGTGAAAGTTAACAAACGACGACAATGTTGATCTGTATGATATTGACGTGCTTCAAATATTTAAGGATGTGCAGCAAAAGCTATAGAAGTTCACTCGACACAATTCTCATCAATTCATTAAAGGTATTTGAGCTATGAAAGTGACACATTCGATGTTTTGATCGCTGCATCAAAGGATCAAGTGCATTGTAGTTTTTCTATTTCTGAACAGATCATCGACGTCTTGATGAGATTCAAGTCATCAACTTATTCGATCTGTACTCTCAACATCTCTCATGTTAAAAGTACAAGAGTCTTTTGCGTTAAAGTATCAATGAATTGATTGATGATACGCGACTTTCGCACTGTATTTGAACTTTTTCTGGTTCGACAATGACTGTCGTACAACTGCATTAAAAGATCTCAATGAAGATTTCAAAGAAAAATGGGTTGTAAAAGCATCTACTATCAAAAAGGGTCAAGTCATGATCATGATTGTAAATACACGTATGATCCAACTAACTACGTTAATTTTCAACTCGTTTCAACTCGTTTTCAAATGTTATTCAAGTCTGACATGATGGCTACATCCAAATCATGACAAAAAAAGCTCAATTATCAGAAATGAAGGAGTGGTATCCATGAAAATTCACCCTGACATCTTTGACGACTATCAGCACGTTGGAGTCGTGGGTAACTACATTTCGATACGAATACTTGAATTGAAAGTCTAAAAAGCAAGACAATGCGAGTTTTCGAACGATATATCTCAAGTTTTTAATTCTCAAATCTCTTTAAAACTTCAGTTCATCGAATCTCCTTCTAGAAAATGGTCATAACGCATACACTGGACGTCTTTTTTATTCTAATCATCCGATTCATGACTTCAAGTATCACCCATGAGCGAAAGTGGACTATCAAGATGTGATCCTATCGCACGGCATTGCGTCAATCAATTATCTCCAGCTGATGTCTGTCTATCATGTCAGTTTCATCAGACAATCAAGTATTTTTGCTTTTCAAAACCTTCTGTTCTATCCATTTGGTTTTTTATGTGTGCTGACTATTCCTAATTCTTTTTTAAAGAGATGATAGACAGTCTTGTTGATGCTACAGATGACTGTATCGTTTGTAATCAATAGATTCGGAAGAAACTTGTCTTGTTGATGGCAAAACTTCACCAAAATACCATTGAAAGCATGTGGTATTCCATAAGTTTTGAAACAATACAAGGGACTAAACGTCAGTGTAGCAGCTGTACTCGACACATGGAAAACGAATGTACAGTACTATGGTTCACCATCTGATGTTTCTTCTTCTCTATCATTAATACTAGAAGGAACAAGATTGTTGTTTGACTGACAGCTCCATCTTGTTTCAGTCTTCAATTTGCACTACTTCACTCACGACGTACACAGCTCAACTTACAATATACATGATGAGAACTTCGATGCGTTCAATTGAACGAGGCCTATGGTCAGGTGAAGAACATGATCGGTTTCTCATGGGACTTAAATTATATCCACATGGACCATGGCGAAAAATTGCGGGATTCGTCGGTACACGTTCACCACGTCAAGTGCAGACGCATGCTCAAAAGTATTATGAAAAAGTTGGTCGTCGTCTTCGTGGATTACGTAAAGATCGAAAGAAACTTGTTCGACCTGAACATCGTCTTGATGAAGATATGGTTCAACTCTGTCAACTTGCCAAGGAACGAGTTGATCCAAATGGTCACGTTGATCCAACATTAACGAGACTTCTACGTGCACCATTGTCATCTTCTACTCAAGTAAGTAACTTGGGATTACTTGCGAATTCAACTGATCAATATCAAAAAATGTGTCGAAAAGAGATGCATCACATGACAACGTTTGAAAGCTCAAGTCCATGTTCAAGTGCTACTTCGAATTTCAATGATAGTACGACGTCGATGGATCTTTCGGATTTTGATGATTCGTGTCTTGATTTTCTCATGACAGTTCTAAGTGCAAGTACGAATCGAGAAAGCATTGGGATGCATATATGATACTTGCACTTGGTACTCGAAAAGTGATTAGCGCTTAATTCAATTAAAGTCAAGCCTTTGCAAGTGATGTAGAGAGTAACTTATAAAACGAATAAATCTCAAACATGTTATTGTTGGTTTTGTTTTCGTATTGGAATCGATTTTGTTCCCATGTTGGTCTCACCTTGACGATTCTTTTTTAGCCTCCACCAGACGGGCTGACGTACCGAGTTCATGTGATTTATCAATCACCATCTGATGCGAATTGAAAGGTCTGTGTATCAGCTGCACAATCGTGTCTGAGCTCATAAAGCAGATTCAACTCACTCGACGTTTTGCTACTTCGTTGAATCAAACATGTAATTTCGCGTCATCACGAATGACACTGGGTTGACTATCTAAAGCATCTGTATTCCCTTCTCTATTGAAGCTTACTCTACATTCAATCTTTAAGTAATTATTTCAAAAGACAGTATGAGGTATATCTTCTAGTACGGAAAAAATGAGCCAGATATAGGAGCAGAAACATGAAAGTGTCTTTTAGCGATAATTGACGTTATTATTGTGATATTGTAGAATATGAGTTCTTACATTTATTGTGATCAATAAAAAGATTATATAAAATTACTTGATGATTATGATGTATTTCTAATTCTTAATAATGGTATATTGATATTATGACATGGGTTCAGTTATACTGCTGCTTCGAGATGTATACCATACGGTAATTAAGCTTAGTTTTTAGAGCAATTTAATATGAGTCAGACAATCCGAAATAGGATGTGCAGTTGATCTGTATCATCAATCATTTGGCTCTCAAGCTGCCAACAGGCGTTTATGAAAGCTATCACACTCATCAAAAATGTTCGGAATGTTACAGATGGTAGCATCAATCAAGGGTTGAGCGCATAGTGTAAGTATTAGCGCTCCGCATATATACAACTGATTAAGTCTATTATTTTAAATTTCACCGCCGAAAGATATGTGACTATAGAAAATTAAATTTTGTTATATTGAAATAAAAAAGTCTGTCACTTATAATGTAATTTTTTTATTCAGTACGTACTGTAATTTTGTCTACATTTGGTACAATTGTAAAAATTACAGTATGATACAATCGTACGAAAGTCGCATAACAATTTCAATATTTCAAAGTTCAGCATATAAGGATAACGGACCGCCGAAAAGGAGGTACCCACCGCACGTCAGAGAAGAAAGACAGTTTGATTATGAGAAAGGAGAGGATAAATATTTAGTATTAGTTGAAAAAGAACCAATTTGATACATGTGTACTCGTGAAGTAGTAGAAATAACTTTCAGTGTTGTTTTCTGTAGAGACTCTCGCTTTTGATAGAAGCATACAATACCCAACTTCTGTGCGTTTGTTGACGCGAAATTCGAGACGAAAGCTGCAGCGGGGCTGCCGTAGCTTTGCGCTTAGAGGAAGCGTAGTTTAGGTCACCGACCCTTCGTTCTATACTTACAAAAAGTACGCGTTTAGCGGGTCGCGATCCGCTTACTCCACGAGTAATTATTGCCTTACCTCAAGGATAATACTCTCCCGTTTAACATGTAAAAATGATTTTTTTTTAAATTTCTGCGGCAAAGCCGCCTAATTTTAAATGTTTAGATTTTCCTAAATATATATAGAAAAATCTAAATACATGCATAACCACTGGCTACTTAGCCACATACCGTATTCTTGTTGGGTGCAGTCACACCATGCCCAACTCGTGTGACACACACACCTGTTCAAGGGTACGTGTAATCTCGTTTTTCTTTCCCCCATTAAGATTGAGAATATTTACAGTTTCAATCGATGATTGCCTCAATGAGGCCCGCGTGTCCGCTAGACACTGCAACTTAATTCGTTAAAATAAAACGACATCCGTGCTCAATAAGCCCTGTGTCAACGACACTGAAGTCACCAAGTCTCGCTGGTTCTGACAGCGAACACGGGCAGAGCCCAACATCGTCTCCCGCACGCGGTGCAACGTCAAACAGTGTGTCCGCGGCACCGGGGGATGTGCATCCTAGGCTCGATGAGCACGAGCGTCGCGCTTCGCGAACGCTACCAATGACGATTGACCTCGTTGAGGATGTGGAGGTGGTAGACTACGAGTCAGACGAGCTGCGCCAGCGGCGTGTTACGAGCCCTGCTCGCGCCTTGCGGACACCATGTCCGCTCCTTGACTTCTCGCCAACCCGAGGGACGAGGTGTAATCACCAATGACCTCGACGGGGCACAGAGGCGGCAGCTGGAAGCTGCCCATACGGCGGCTCTGAAGCACGCCAATCCACGGCCGGTCATTGACCCTCGTATGGAATATGCCTTCCGCCCAGCGGATTCCGCTGTGGAAGCGAAGGATGCGGTAACTCGATCGTTACGCGTCCACGTCATCTGGCCTCGGCCAGAACGGAAGATGAACTTGCCAAACGGAAAGCTCTTCGAGCTCGTTTCCTGGTTCCACAAGAATTTCCATTGAAAGCCTTTGGCACTTGTCTGAGTGCTCAACGAGGTGGCTCTCGTGTACCCGCAATGCAGACAATACCTGTAGTGCTCACCCCTGGCGAAAGC